ACACACAGTATATATAGAAGTGAGAAACCACAAACGATTCAGTGCATGAACTGTGAATCAAAATGAATTAAAGTGAGGCATGGACAACTTGCCAGTTCTGATTCTAAAGCTGAAAGAAAACACACATGACATGACTGCTGAAATATTACCTCGGAAAATTATTTTCAGATTCACATACAGTAATCTTCATTGTCAGACAGTGATTTATCAGTAATATTATACTGGGCACTGGGCACATTAGTTTTTCACTTCTGTTCATTCCCCTGTTCTGCATTAACTTGCTAAAATGACAAAAAAAAAAAAAAAAAAACTTGCAATGCACGCAGATTGCCCCCTCGAAGGACATCGCGTGCGTGCTCCTCGCCCAAACAAACAACACATAGATCGTGTGTGTCATCTGGTGTCAAATAGCGATGACACGGATGCACACACCTTCTAAATGCTCTCCTAGTGCTCGCCATAATAAATAGAGATAGCTCTTACTTTTTCCTTGGAAATGCACGCTTCAAACAGAACAGTCAATGAAGACGAAGAAGAGAATGATGTGTAGCTCCCGGCGCTGATTTATGCTGTAGTCACACCGGTAGTGACGTCATGGCTGTCGCCGGCCAACGATTTGGTGTTTTTTCAATGTATGCTTCAGACACGGGTCACAACGAGGCGTTCCCCATAGCGACCCCTAGAGGACGCAGTTTGAAGTTCCCATGAAAGGGAATCACAGAATATGACAGAGCTCGTGTTTAAAAGCAAAACACACTGGAATGAATAATTCACTGAAAACGCAACACGAGTCTCTGTTCTCTCTGCAATCTCTGATGTAATCAGCCTGGTTTCCTTTATATTAGCGCTGTTTTGGACGGATTGTTTGAATGCATTCGCTTACTGGATCATTGGACTGAAGACGTTCCTGGAGTTTAGTGGTTTAAAATGATCTAATCACAAGCAGAGTAGCAAAATTGGGTTAAAGGGTTAGAATAGAAATTGTGCTTCAGTAATTTTGCGTTAATTGCGTAAAATTATTTTAATGCGTTAAGGATTGTAAAATTAATCGCAGGCGTTAACACGTTAACGATGACAGCCCTACTTTTTACCTTGTCAAAACAGCTCTGTTCACAGCAAGCTGTTTTGGTGCATATCTCTTTAAATGATAATGAGCTGCTGCTCACCCCACCCCTCTCTTCTGATTTTTGTGTATTCAGTGGCGCTTTACCATGAAAAACAAAACTAATCAGTCTCCTCAGTGGCTCTGATGTTAGGAGAAAATTAAGACTTTGATGTACACTTTTACATCCAACTACAAATCACCTGAATTGCTTACGAGACATGTCCCTACAGCTGCTCAAGTGGGGACAAAATGGCGGATAGCATACAACTGGCTGAGGGTGGAAATGTGCTAATACAGGACAGTCCACCAGCAGTCGTCAAATCAAAACAGCTTGATGATTGAGACTCTTTAGGTTTTTTGGGGATTAAAAAAGGAGTGAATGGGTTTGTCAGTAATTAACAATCGGTCCCTATAGATTCTCTTTGCCACCTGGAAAATTCTCAGTCCCTCAAAGTGTATAACGGCCGGGAAGCAAGAAAACACACATCAAATGGTATTCTCAATACTTCAACTTTATTCATAGATACAAGGATATTATATAGGCATATGTCGAGGGGAGGAACCATTGATCTCACTTTCCTCTCACATCGTCATTTCAGCCTTAAGGTCTGAATTTTCTTCAAAATAGAACCTGGCTTGCATTGTTGGCCAATCACTGGCTTGCTCATGCTCAACCAAGAGACAATTCCAAGGCTACATGATATTCCACTCTGGTGCTCGGAAATATGCATTCTATGTCAAGCCAAATTTAGTTGCAGATCATTTCGAGAACAAGTTCCATATAACTGTGCCCATTTTCAATGCCTGCAGTGTTGTTTTTGTTGTTAGCACATTTATTTGTAGTAAGCAAAGCCATTCTATTTGTTCTCCTCTTTCCTGATCACTGTCTTAATTATGATTAATTTAACAAATTCAATCAAATGCAAACAACCAAAATAGCCAGCAGCTATGATTAAAAATGAAAAAAGAAAGAAAAAATCCTATTAAATAGTCCATATGGGCCTTTAGGCCAATGCTAATTCAAGTTTAAAGAAATAATAAATAGATAAATAAATAAATAAAAATAGCATGAAAGAAGCATAAAAAGCACATTCACAGAGACAAAATATTTATTTATTTATAAATCTAGAATTTGGTAAATATCACACTACACACACAGTGATTTTTGAAATGAAAGAACTTGTTTAATCTAAGACAAAATGCACCCTTCAGCGTTAGCAGAACTTTTTAAAGAGAACATTTTAGCTATATGAAAGTACGTGAATGCAGAAAAAAATTGCTTTGCCAGCACATACTCTTGTGGTGGTAAGAGAGCACATTTTTGGGGATCCACGCAAAATATTTCCTCATGCAGATTTCGCAACAGGCTCAAATGAGTCAAATTAGCACAACTCTTCTTGGTTTGACAGTGACTTCTGTGTGAGCCGTGCTTCTTATGTTGCTACACTACTGGCAATAGACAACTGATAGGCTTTTTTGCCAACAAAATTTCATGGCGATAGAATACAAAATTAGTTTGCCTCTGACATTAAACCAGATGTGTTATTATTTTGGTAAACTGCTAGAAACATACTGACTTTAACAGCTGACCTAAAAGAGAAAACTAAGCTTAAAAGGAGACATTTAACTTAGACTAATGGTGCGTTCAAGTCTTGTTGTAAAAATTGAATTTACAAGTTGAACATCAGTACAAAACCATAATTATAACTTCCCAGGAGGACCTCAACACACTATAATTCCAGCTAAAGCACCTCTTGTGGCAATGCTGAGAATGCAGCCTTTACTTGTGTGAGAAAATTAAGCTTTTGCAGCAAGCTACATCTGCATTCAGGTACTTACATGGTTCAAACATTTACAAAATTGAAAATAAATAACCCCTCATAATGTTTTATTCAATTTAAGGAGCTGAAACTAACCGAAGATTATATACATTTGGTGTTAGAGAAAAAAACCTTTCTTTGCACTTATAAAAATGCTAAAGTACTAAGGACACATGGGCAGCTATGTATTTTTATCCTTGAGCAAATGGCTTTGTTTGCACACGAGGCCTATATAAGTCTGCCCCAAGAAATGAATAATATCACAGCGTTCACAAGCAGCCTTCAGCACTATTTGCCTCTTTGTGGATCCATCCCGTGTGTGGGTGGGCCTCGGTGGGTGTCAAGCGTCCAGTGAATCACAGAGATTCATTTAGATACGAAGAGCTGTCCAATCATAAGGTCACAGGATGGGCGCCTCTCTGCCCACAGCCACAAACGGCAGCTTCTCTGAGCGGGTCGATAGTAAACACAGTGTGCAATAAATGTCATATAGCTAGAGCACAACAATTAAAAATATCCCTAGTAAACGGCAGAATAACATTTTCGCACAGCTTTTTACACATTCTTTTTTAATATTTAAATAATCAGTTCTGAACGAAAGCTGTGAAATCCACAGTCATTATGGAAATGGAAGTAGCTCTCTCTTTCTGTCCATAATGCATCTGCAATGGCTTTCTATACACCTCCAAACCAATCTGAGTGTGAGCCCGTGCGTAGGAGGAGGTGGCGTAGGCGGTGGGGAGTGTAGTTGATATGTTAGTGCTTGCTATGATCTCAATAGTTAATGTTTATTTATAACACTCAGAAAAGGGTATCTGAATGTCACATAAGCATATTACGGTGCTGGGAAGAGACACTGTGGAATTTTAACGTATGTGTAGCTTATGTTGTCTGTCTGCGGAATTCGAGCATAAATGACATTATAATTGGAGGCACTTTAACCTCTTTAGCAGGTGTCGGATAAACCCAGTGGCTCAAAGACCATGCTCTTTAATTATGCTAAATAAACTTCTTTTCATTATTTATTCACCCTCATGTTGTTCCAAACTCACATGCTATTGTATATCTCATTAGAAAACAAAAGGAGATTTTTAGATGAATCATCACACGGCTCTTTTCTATCGAACAGAAGTTAATAATGACCTTCAAGTTCCAAAAATGTCTAAATACACTAAAATAATTTCATGAAGTATTCTATATGACATGCTCTATATTCCATGTCAAAGAAAAGTCATACGATAACTTTGGGTGAAGCAAACATACTGTACTTCATGGTGCTGTTATGCTGTTTTTTTTATCACTATAGTCACTATAGTTTTTATAGCCAAAATTGTCACTGTATAGAAAAATAGCATTTATCAATAAATAACGACTTAAATTTTGGTCTGTCCCTCACACAAACTTGTCGAATGGATTCAGAGTCAGATTAGTCATACGGACTACTGTACTTCATGGTGCTGTTATGCTGTTTTTTTAATCACTATAGTCACTATAGTTTTTATAGCCAAAATTGTCACTGTATAGAAAAATTACATGAAGAATAAAAAAAATTCTCATTTTGTGTTTCTTAGAAAAAGAAATCCACACATTTTTGGAATGATATAAGAGTGAATAAATAATGACAAGTCAATTTTAGGTAAACTATCCTTTTAAGTTCAATACCTGAGTGTGTATGTTTGTTTTTTGGGTGGTAAAGGGGTAGTTTGGATGGAATTTATCATTGGTTAAATCTGGGTGTTAGTCCCCCTGCACAAAATAATTCAAGAAGTAATACAAAACAGAAATTCTTTAGGACATTCATTCCAACAGTGGTGCAATAACTGTAAAATAATATATAGAATTTTTTAAAGAGTCCCTCATAAATAGATGATAATCTGGATAATAAACATTCAGTTTTAAAACTGACAATCATATCATGTTGAATATTTGTGTAATATTTTTTAAAAATGCCAACAAATAAGAACACAACTGACAGGCATCACAAAACTGTATAATATAACAATGCATATGTAGAGTTTGAAGACCTGTTTGCAACAGATTTCAGTTAGTGTACAATACTTTTACAAGTAAGGCAAAAAGCACATACAAATACATTTAGAGACAACTACAAGCCGATGTATAATTATTGACCTGTTTACATTTACAAAATCTTTTCCAAATTGTATCACTTATTAATACGCTACAAGTCTCACTAAGTATGTTCACATGCACAGCTAGAATCGAGCAAAAGTGCATGTAAATGTATTTAGTGATCTAGTGCCCAGTCGTAGCCATAGATTCACTGCATTGATTAAATCTCCTAAGCAAATTTAGAAAAAGGCACATAGATGCTTCACATATTGTGGTGCTGGTCCCATAGGTATTGATACCATGGAATGCTGCTGATGACCCTTGTTTTGATTTGCCAAGTCCTATAAATAAGGCAAAATGAATTGTGACTTTTCAAATTGTGTTGCCAGATTGTACACTTCCATACTACAAAGTCTGATTACTAGGAGAAAATTTCATAGACATGATGACGAGTTGATAGGCTTCAGGAGAGGCAGTACTGTAACTACAAACTGAATAGAGCTCAGGGAGGCATGTACAATAATACTGTTTTTTCAGCTGACACAAATCACAAGTTTACAAGTAGCTGATCTCCAGTGAGTTGTTCTTTTCCACCGGTTCCTCTGGCAGTGTTTTCACATTCCCATTTTTAGCCCCGTTCAGTAGGGTTGCAGCAGTTCCAAAGCCTGGTCCTTTAACATCCCCACCCGTGCCTCTCCTGTCTGGGGAACTTGTCTCAGAAACCCCTGTACCCGAGGGTCTCTCTAAGAAAAGCGCTCGGGTACTTTCAGGTTGTCCGCTTCCGTTTCCGTTCTGAGTAATCCTGCAGATTTCCGTCATCTCCGTCACTTCCTCCCTGTACTCTTCCTCTTCCTCATCCTCTTCCTTTCTCACTGCTCTTCTAAGGCTTTCCCTGGGCATCACCACTCTTCTTCGTTCCTCTTGATGCCGTTGCTCAGTGGGCACGTGGTTCTCGACCCTTCGAGATGAGCGGCACAGAGCCTTTCGAAATCCCCGCTTGAAGTTGTCCGAAAGGAAGCCGTAAACGATAGGGTTAGCGCAGCTGTTAGCATAAGACAATACCACCACAAATAGATGCAGACCTTGGGGCTCATCCCGCAGCGATTCCACCAGGTTTATGATGTTGAGGGCGTAAAATGGCATCCAGCAGAAAACGAACACAGCCACCACTATCACCACCATTCGCGTGACTTTTCTCTCCGACTTGCGCCGTTTGGTCGAAGTGGCATGAACCTTCTTTCCCGAGCTGCGGATTTTGATCACAATGAGGAGATAGCACATGCAGATGACCAGCAATGGAAAGAAAAAGCCAACTGTGGAGGTGTAGATTATAAATGCTGCTCCCCAGATGTTGGCTGGCTCTGGCCAAATGATGTTGCAGATGCCTCCTTCCCGTTGCACATTTGCAAAAATCACCACAGGCAAGACTACCAAAAACGAGACCGCCCAGATTGTTCCATTCACCGCCTTGGCCACTTGCGGTCGCCTCCATTTTGAGGACCGTATAGGATGAACCACGGCCAGGTAGCGATCGATGCTCATCACGGTGAGGCAGAAGATGCTGGTGAACTGGTTAATGCCATCAACGGTCATGACCAACCTGCACGTGAATGAGCCGAAGGGCCAGGAGTGCATGGCGTTCTGCACGGCGAGGAACGGAAGCCCCAGCATGAAGAGTTCATCGGCTATAGCTAGATTCAGGATGTAGATGTTGGTCACTGACTCTGTCTTGGAGTAGTGCAGGACGATGTGGATGACCAGTGAGTTTCCCCCCAGGCCGACGATGCAGACAATGATGTAAATAAGAGGGATGAGGATTCCTGCCATGCTTGTTCCTGCTTGGTTCCCCGCATCTGTCCCATTAGTGCAGTTCAAAGCATTGAGGAAGCAAGTGTCATTGAGAACGCTCTCGTTAAGAAGGAAACCAGGAATGGAGCTGTTGTCCCATAAGCCCAGCACAGCAGAGGCGTCTACTGAGGTCAGCTCCATCTCAGTCTCTTGCCGTCACTGCCTTCAGCTGGGGGCCATTGTCCTGCACAGAGAACAACCACAAACTATCATTTCTCTCTCAATGCACTCTCACATTCAATAAATGCATAATCTACAGACAAAAGCACCATTGTTAGGAAGTTTTTTTTCACACTGTTTTTTTTTTGCAAATCTGAAACTAGCTTACCAAGTGAAAACATACAATAGACTAGACCAGTGGTTCTCAACCTTTCTGAGTCCAACAGCCAATACAATATTCAACAGCCCACATTTATTTAATGCCAGACATGACAAAGACACCTTTTTACAACTCATACAGATATACATAAAACATGAAATCCATGTTTTGTCTTTTTAAACAAAATGTAGCCTAAATAATGATTATTATATATGTTTTTGACATTATATAAAAATAATGTAAAAATTTAAGTAAAATTAAAAACAATAAACTGAAACAATAAAGTACATGCAAGTACATGCAGGATTGCTGTCAAGACCTAAAAAAGCAGGACAAGACAGGATTAATATAATTGTAAGCAGGGAACGTGTGTACCGCTCCACAGGAGGGGGCAGGTATTGAATGAAACTTGGGAGTACTGGGAAAATGGTGCATTCTCATCTGAATGAGAAATATGTTCAGTTTACATGTTGAAGGTCTTGTTTTGTGTTTTTAACATTTAAATAAAAGCAACAATTTTAATAATACAATTTTATTATTTATTTTTAAAATGACTGTTTATATTATATAATATTATACTATATTATATTATTATTATAGAGGCCTCCTTTGAAATGTACTTTCCAGAGGTACCCTGATTGAGAACCACTGGATTAAACACTGGTCAAATTACATAAAAAGATTGGAGGATTGCACAGAACAGTTCGTCGTAAAAACACTCACATGGCTCACAGGGATTTGGATGGTGTTATTTTTGTCCCTTAGGCAATCAGGCATGCCAATTATCCTGCGTATGTGAGATGCTCAGTAGAGAAAAGTCTGCCTCAGCAGTACCTCGCTGAACCATTAGAATGGCAGCGTTTCAAAACATTTGCACTGTGTATATTTGAACTATGGAAAAACAAATATGGACAATGACAATTCAATTGTAAAGCAACGCATAATAGAACAGAAGAAAGGCTTGCTATACTGGGAATAGTAATTTAAAATACATGATTAAAACAGAATGCAGGAATAAAGGGTGAGAGCTGTTGCATGTTGTGTCAGATAAGAAACAATTGCAGTGATGGCAACAGCAATGCGACTGACTCCATTGGGATGTTTGTGTTTGGCTTGGTTCAGACAGACAGTTCAAATACTGTGCTTTCCCACATGTGGCTAATAACTGACATTTTATTAGCAATCGTGCACATTGGGATTCAGAACTGACTGAGCAGATGATTAATAGCCCATTCATGGTGTGTGTGTGCACATGCATGATGCTTGTTCTGAGGATATATACTGTCCTTGGTTATCTTAATAAAGAGATAGTTCACTCAAAAACGAAAATTCTGTCATCATATACTTAAGAAAGGTTTGGAACAAGACAAGGGTGCGTAAATGACAGATTTTTTATGTTTGGCTGAATTAACTCATATATAATCTATATAATGGCATATTATATTAAATAATTCTATAGCGATATATAATACTATATGGTGTTTGAGAGTGTAAGAATAGTTAGTCGTGAGAGAGAAGAGTAAATAGGATCAGGTGATCAGGTGTCTTACGTTCCATATGTCTTTGTTGAAATGGAAAAGCTTTGTATGTAAGATATTCACACCTGCCTCTCTCCATTTCTATTGAATTTATTTTCTCTCTCCTTCCCAAATACATCCAGAAGCAAAGAATATGGAAGATAAATTGACTGTAGACCACTGTGGCACTCACACAGAGAGACAGGGGAAAACATGCAGAGAAGAACTGCCATCATCATGCTCTATATAGGTTTAACGTAATCTAGGCTGAGATATGACCGTAAATTAATTATGTTTAATTAAGGCTGTTGATAAAATGGGAGACATTGGATACCAGCAAGCTTTTTGATTAAAGAACAACCTGTTTATTGAAAGATGTAATGCCATTGACTTTTACTGTGCTTCATTCTTTGAAGCACCCTGCTATTGAACATAGAAGACAATGTTTTGGAACATTTCAGAATGAAGGCAGCTAATGATGTTACATGAATGAAAGCTAATTCATTATAAAAATATCTATAAGAGTTGCAAAGATTCGTTCCCCAAAAACAGATGAAAGTAGTATATTCAGTGTCAGTGCAATGTTGAAATGGGGAAAAAAATAAATGCAGAGGAGAATAAAAGTCGAACAAAAAGAATAATAAGTGAAGAGATAAAAGCAAGTGAAGAAAAGCTATGCCATTCATATGGCTGCACACTCGTAACCTTCATGATTAAATAGCTATCCAAACCATCAAAACATTTTTCTGGCTCCGGTTTTGCTTAAAAAACTTTTCAGATGATCAAATGATTGATTTCATTAAGACAAAGTATGCAAGCAACGCGTTTTGCAGTATTTTAAGGTTAATTGGTTCTTTTAAAGTAACATGAAACAGACATGGGGAGAGGAAAAAACCTTTTTACGTCTTTATAAGCTTTATAATGATTGCATCACAGGCTGATTTTGTAGAAACCATTACTGATTAGTGCTAAAAGTATATTTTAATGCTTTAATGCCCACCATTTACATGATCTCTGAACTATATTATTGAAATGGAGTCTGACAGGCTATTATGCCATACACGCTGCGATTTTTGCTCTAATACGAGTTGGCAAGCATCATTATTATTATTATATCTATTTTTTTTATCCATTGGGAGAAATCGCATGTCAAACATTGATGCTCATATGGCTTGCATTGCGTGAGAGGAATTACGAGCCAAGCCGAGTAATTTGTGAGCACTGGGCTCCCGACAGTTTTTAAACAAAATTTGGGAAGTTGACCTGAATTTGATCAGTGTAGGCCCATAGGCTTTCTCTTATTTACAAACCAAACACAAACCCATCAAATTGGCTGCTAGCAACCATACAGTGTACACACACACACATGTAAAGTTCGTTTCACACTGAGCACGATACGAAAAAGTGAGGCGAATCGCCGACGTACGTTGCTTTCACACCAAGCGCGAAACGACTGATCGCCTTCTGCTAATTCACACCTGCACGCTAGGTGGCGCAGACCAACGATGCATTTTTTCCTCATGTAGCCTATGTATCTCGTATATGGCTTTTGCATTGTTCACTGCTCAATATACAGCATTAAATTAAGATAAATAACTTTTGGTTCTTCATTAGTAACACAAACTATCCATAATGCTTACAAGTATACATCTGAAAATATAATTAGAGGTACAAATAGCATCAAGCTACATTTCAAAACGTATGTAATTATTCATGTTTTTGCTCAAACCCCACTTTAAACCATCATCGAGTGCTTGTAATAACTTCAGATTGTGATCTAAATGGATTTTGATTCTATAATAAGTAGACATGCACTCTTTGTGATTTATAATAGACTGAATGCTACCTGCTTGTCATAAAAATCCTTTATTGTTATAAAAATACAGTGAGCTGCATAAAAACATACAGAAAATATATCTTCATAATCATATGTCTATTTGCTTTCATATTTCACTTGTAGAAAAATGTTTCTCTATTTTTTTTTTATATACGGAAGGGAAAGAGATGATTGACAGATTTTGAGGGAACACGCTCTTGCGCGTGAAATAAAATGGACTGTGCTCTCCAGATCACATAATACTACTTCTTCTGTGTTTGTTAACAATGGTTTTTGAAACAGTGCCACCATTCTCACCCTTTTGTGCAACAGCAGCTGCTCCGGGCACGTAATCTAAGCTCAAATCTGATTGGACGGCCCGTTTCATCGCGGAGCGATGGGGAAAAAATCGACACACAGGACGGAAAAAAATTCTTCGCTTTTTCACGCCGTGAATGATCGCGCCTAGTGTGAATAGCCCCATTAGGGATCTATTGTTTCGATTCAAAAGCGTCATCGTGCCGAACATTCACACCGATTTTCGCGTTCAGTGTTAACAGCTCCTTAACCCTAACCCTAAAGGCCATTTCACACTGAGCGCGATGCGAAAAAGCGAAGCAAATCGCCAACAAACGTTGCTTTCACACCGAGTGCAAAACGATTGTTCGCTAGGTGGCGCCGACTAACAATGCATTTTTCCTCAGATATGTATCTCATACAAGTTATTTCTGAGCTCGGCTTTCAATTGTGACCAGTGGATTTGAAAAATAAATGTGACAGTTTGACAAAAATAAACTGATTGCCTAATAATTCATGGATTCGCTAGTGTTGTCTGCAACCTGATCTCTGGTGAAAACTTATGCACACAAAAAAAGAAAAGCCCTATATGAACAGGCAGCATAATGAAGCTAGTGGATTTTTCTGATGGATCTCATATCTATAAGATGATTTCTGTGTGCAAGGTTACAAACGTAGCATATGCTCCTTTTCTATGTGCGTTCCTCACTTAACACGAAAGTGAAAGTTGCCTATGCATTCGGGATAGTTTAAATGAATTCGGGTCTAATCGGGTCCATTTGGAAAAAAGCATTTTTATTTTAAATTACTCGAGACCCGAGGCCACTAATACCGAACCCGACCCATGTCCGAGGTACTCAACGAAGTTTTGGACCCGAACCCGCTCGGGTCGGACCTCTTGTTTTCGGGTCCACCTCTAGTTGCCACCCGTCCCTTAAAATATGGAATCGTCCCTTATTTAAAGGTAAAATTATGTGTCCCGTATCAAATCAATATGGGACGCGATTTGTCCCATATTTTACAAAGGCCAATACATAATTGAATAAACAAATAAGTATTTTGCACTGTTTATAATACTAATAGCAATTATAATGAAATCAATTTCATAAGAAGAATTAGAGAAGCTCATTTGAGCGAGATTGCATTTTGGCGTCATTGTTTCCATAGCGATGGAGTCTCCAGAACGTGCGCCATTAAAACCCTTTCACACGAGCGCAGCATGCGGTAAACCTGTG